CATTGAAGGGCATAACATAAAACTGTTTAGTTACATAATACATTGAATTAGTTCTTAATTAGAAAAAGAAATATTGGCTCGCTTAGCTTATTCAACTAGCAATCAATAATTAAGCACCAAGATTAGATTGGGCTTCTTACTTAATGTACTGTTGGCCAAAATTCTTTTCAACAAAAAATGGCACAAGTATATCTAATGTATATTTATATGTACGTGATGTATGGCTATATATAAGAGATGTATATATATTTATATACATTGTTATACAATATTTATATGTTGCAAAAATTCATCTTCCTCAACGAGCTGACTTTTATTTCAATTCCGACCAAATCTAATCTCCTATAAATACTTCCAAATTTTAGATATGAGCTCCTCTCGATGTTTTGAGTCTTTTGGTATATTATTCTCTTGAAATGATTTAAGTTTGCGGTAGATCGAATATTAAAATTTGAGCTTCCAAGTTGTTCAATGGGCACCAGCTCAAATCTTTCTCTAAATAACTCAAATTTAGATATGAGCACATTTCGATGTCTCAATTCTTTTGATGTACTATTGATCTCTCGAAATAATCCACGTTTGCGACATATCAATTTTAAAAATTTGAGTTTCGAAGCTTCTCAATGGAAGATTTCAAACTTGGTGATGGAAGATTTTATGTTGGGTGAGGCTCTCTGCTTCTACTGGTTGGAGGATTTCAAACTTAGCTTAGTGATGGAAGAATTTATGTTGGGTGAGGCTCTCTGCTTCTACTGCTTCTTATATACATGTGAATCACACTAAATACATATATTTTGGATACTTGATACATTCTGAAAATACAGATACGTAGGGAGAAAGGTGAGCAAGAGAGGGAGAGAGGTGAGCAAAAGAAGAGAGAAGCGAGCAATAGAGTTATTGTATCTCACGTACATGTGAATCCACCTATAATACAGTATATTTAGAATAAATTACACCTAATTTTAACCTCATGTATCTGAATGCGCCAATTACATGTATCTTGGGACCGAAATTTGGTACGGATGATAATTTTGAAAACTCGCGAGGCACATAATTAGCCCGTAAACTAATGAAATATTTGTTGTTTGTCCATGTATATATATGATTGTATTATGTATATCTAATATATACTATTTTTTCATGGATATGATACATGATATACAGAACATATATCGATAAACAAAAATGATATACACGGAAATATTAGAAGGTATACACAAATATACATCACCTAAAAAATCTATGCTCCATACATCAAAATAAATTCAAAATCTGGATTAATGGAGAGTTCATATGGCTGGTGCTAGATGAAAATGGAGGAGAGAGTAACAGCTGGATTTAATTTTTACATTGGAGGAATTGTGGTTTCCGTTCCACTTAATCCTTTTCATGGCCACATATCTTTCTTATAAACTAAAAAAAAGGGGCACAATATTAAAGAACATTTTGTGAATTACTCAAATCTTTTTTCAATATTTCTTATACCAAATTTTGAGCCACCATATATACATACATTACAAGAAATTAAACATCAACGTGCTTGCTAAAAAAACATATACTGCTAGTTTCTTATTTACCTATGGTTCCATTAATTTTCAGCATAGTGTATCGATCTCTTATCTGTTGAGTAAACAATATATTACATTATGTTTGAGGATTAGAGAAGATGAAAAAAAAAAAGGAAAGCTAACCGTAAGAATTTAATTCACACCTATTTGGTGAGACTCGTATCGATACCGACGACTAGACAATAAGTTCTGGTCTCGTCATCATTCATCTACCATGAGCCTCTTCCACAACCAATGTTGCTTCCACACCCTCTCTGTCATCACGTCAATGGGAACATTCTTCGTCTCGGGCAACAAGAAGAAAACAAACAATGACATAACAAAAATCCACCCCGAAAAGAACAAGAATATACGGTACTTGAAATGACAAAGCATAGAGAGAAACGCTTGTGCCATAACAAATGTGCATGAACAATTTCCCAAAATGTACTACTCCACTAATAATTTGAAAAATAGCATTAAAATGACCTGGAGGGCAACAGAGATGATCAATGGAGGTCTATTTTTACGTTGGAGTAAATTTCTGATAAAAATAGTGGAACTGCCTGAAAAAAATCATACACATAAAATTTTAATTTTGAGAGATAGAGAAAGATAGAACATACAATTGGGAAGTACAATTTTTTTTTTTTATATAAAATAAAATAAACAAAATACAAAAATTACTCAAATAAAATATTGAAAGAGCTTTCTCTTCCATATTGTAAAAGGAGATTTCTTTTTCTTCACGAGTGACTTGCAAATTCTTCTTTATGAAGTTTTTTTTTTCTTTCTATTTATCAGATTATATTAATAGGACACTCATGTGGAACATGTTAATTAACCTTTAGGTTTTATCCAAATTGCAGTTATTGTAGTATCTTCTTTTGTGGATTTGTTTTTTACTTCTTGTACTTAGATAAATAAAATGGATAAGATAAAAGAAATGTATTGGTATGTATAGTTCTAGGGATGATAATGGTTGGTGCGAATGCGGGACACGGGGTGGATTTATGGTTATGT